GGCTGAGGCTCTGTGGGTTCCGGGAGCTGACCCAGCAGAGCAGAGGCCACTGAGGAGCTGAGGTTCAGGAGAGGCTTCCAGAGCAGGAGCAGTGCCGGGACGGGAGGATCCAAGAGCTCATCCAGGAGGGGGCCATGGGCAAGAGCAAGGGGCTCTGCTGGGGAGACCTGACTGGACACAGGGTGCTCCACAGCGTAGGGAACAAGCTAAGTGCCACAAAAACAAAAATAAGGCCACAAAACAGAGCCCAAACCTGGACAGACGGTGCCAGGACAGGAGGGGGCAACAGTGGTCTGAGTGATGTTGCTGCCCCAGGTTGAGGGAGGGTAGAATGAGCAGGGGGCAGACTTTGGAGCTCAGGGGACCAGGACGGAGCAGCCGCAGGTGCACAGGGCAGGTGGGGGCAGGAGGAGCAAGGGGCAGCTCCTGGAGCTCAGGGTACCAGGACAGAGCATCTGAAGGTGAACAGGGGCCGGTGGGGGGACAGGATGAGCAGGGGGCAGCTCCTGGAGCTCAGGGGACCGGGACCGAGCAGCCGCAGGTGAGCAGGGGCTGGTGAGGGGCAGGATGAGCAGGGAGCAGCTCCTGGAGCTCTTAGAGCCAGGGCAGAGCCGTCGCAGGTAAGAAGGGCTCGGTGGGAGGTGAGCAAGCAGGGGCAGCTCCAGGAGCTCTGGGAACCAGGGCAGAGCCGTCGCAGGTGAGCAGGGGCACGGGAGAGGCAGGACGCGCAGGGTGTAGCCCCTGGAGCTCAAGGAACCAGGGCAGAAGAGCCTCAGGTGAGCAAGGCAGGGGGGAGACAGGAGGAGCAGGGGGCAGCTCCTGGAGTTCAGGGGACGAGGTCAGAGAAGCCACAGGTGAGCAGGGGCCGGTGAGGGGCAGGATGAGCAGGGGGAAGCCCCCTGGAGCTCATAGAGCCAGGGCACAACCTCGCAGGTGAGAAGGGCTCAGTGGGAGATGAGCAAGCAGAGGCAGCTCCCAGAGCTCTGGGAACCAAGGCAGAGCAGCCGCAAGTGAGCAGGGGCTCCTGGGAGGCAGGACGCGCAGGGGGTAGCCTCTGGAGCTCAGGGAATCAGGGCAGAACAGCCTCGGGTGAGCAAGGCAGGTAGGAGACAGAGGGAGCAGGGGACAGCTTCTAGAGCTCAGGGAATGAGGGGAGGGCATCTGAAGGTGAGCAGAGGCTGGTGGGAGGCAGGACGCGCAAGGGCCAGCCCATGGAGCTCAGAGGACCAGGGCAGAGCAGTCACAGATGAGCAGGGCTCAGGGGGAGGTGGGCAGCAGGGGGCAGCTCCTGGAGCTCAGGGGACCAGGGCAGAGCAGCCGCAGGTGAGCAGGGGCTGGTGGGAGGCAGGACGAGCAGGGGGCAGCCCCTGGAGCTCAGAGAACCAACGCAGATCACCCACATGTGAGCAGCGGCTGGTGGAAAGCAGGAGAAGCAAGGGACAGGCACTGGAGCTCAGAGGACCAGGGCAGAGCAGCCGCAGGTGAACAGGGGCAGGTCAGGGGCAGAAGGAGGAGGCGGCAGCTCCTGGAGCTCTGGGGACAAGGGCAGACCCGCTGCAGGTGAGCAGGGCTGGTGGGAGGCAGGACAAGTAGGGAACAGGCACTAGAGCTCAGGGCACAGCAGCCACAGGTGAGCAGGCCGGTGGGAGGCAGCACTCAGCTTCTACACGTTGGCAGGATCTAGGCAGTTGCTGGCAGCTGACAGCTGAGGGCTGGTGAAAGCACAGTGCAGCCTCCTGGTGCAGGGAAGCGGGTGTGAGCCCATCCCACTGAGCAGTTGGCAAGGGCGAGCTGGGATGGAGAAGGGAAGGCATTCCAGGGCTCAGGGCTCAGCTCACAGGCAGGGGCAGGTCTGGATGCAGGGGGAACATGTGATGAGACCAGGGCTGGCCCCAGTGGACCTGAGGTTGGTGATCCAGAAGGAACAAGATGGGCTGCCAGGAGCCAGGGCCACCAGCACAATGAAGCTGAGTGGAGGTGGTGCAGGGCAGTGTACCAGCACAGGGGAGCCAGAGGGACCCCTTCAGGGCCTGGGCAGAGTTGGCCAGAGCCCGTGATACAGGTGAGGGGAACAGGTAGTGAGCAGGGCCCTGGGGCTGAGCAGAGGGGATGGCCTGGCTGGGGGCAGGGCACTTAGCTTCCTCAGAGGTCAGGGGCACACCTGACCTGCAGTGGGACTCCAGGGTCACTGGGCCAGCGGCAGAGAGAAATGGGGCCTCCCTGTGGCCTGGGGGTCTTGGTGCCATGCAAGGTGCGGAGGGCCAAGGGCAGGTGCAAGGCTCCTACCTGTGCCGGGGGGCCTGGGCTGAGCCCAGCAGGGACCTTGCCAGGGGAAGCTCTGGAGAGAGGGAGGAGGTGGGCTGGTGGCCGAGAAGGCCAGGCCAGGGCTGGGAGGGTGAGGGTGTGGTGACTCAGCCTCCGGAAGTACTGCAGGACACTGGGGAGGCAGGGGGCATCGATGCACTCAGGGCCCTGACCTGGGCTGGTGCACACTGGGGCTAAGGGGAAACGGGGGAGACGCTGAGGAGGGGCTCCCGGGGGCTACTCCAAGGCAGGAGGTTCCAGGGCCCTGGGGCTGAGGGTCCCAACCCTATGCAGTGTCTGGCCCCTCTGCTGCACAGAAAAACAGGGCCCTGGAGGGCAGAGGGCAGGCTATGACCAGGGCCCTGGGCAAGTCAG